TCATTATGGATATTGTACTGAAGTTTTCTTTTCTTGCTGAGTCTCTGCCAGGTTTTGGTATCAGGATGATGTTGGTCTCATTATGATTTGGGAAGGATTCCCTCTTTTTGGATTGTTTGGAATAGTTTCAGAAGGAATGGGACCAGCTTCTCTTTGTATGTCTGGTAGAATTCGGCTGTGAACCCATCTGGACCTGGGCTTTTTTTGGGTGGTAGGCTCTTAATTTCTGCTTCAACTTTTGCCCTTGTTATTGGTCTTTTCAGGGTTTTGACTTCTTCCTGGTTTAGGCTTGGGAGGATGCAAGTGTCCAGGAATTTATGCATTTCTTCCAGGTTTACTAGTTTATGTGCATAGAGTTGTTTGTAGTAATCTCTGATGATGGTTTGTATTTCTGTGGAATCTGTGGTGATATCCCCTTTGTCATTTTTTATTGCATCTATTTGATTATTCTCTCTTTTCTTTTTTATTATTCTGGTTAGTAGGATGTCTATTTTGTTGACCTTTTCAAAAGACAAGCTCCTGGATTTATTGTTTTTTTTGAAGGGTTTTTTGTGTCTCTATCTCCTTTAGTTCTGCTCTGATCTTAGTTATTTCTTGTCTTCTGCTAGCTTTTGAGTTTTTTTGATCTTGCTCCTTTAGCTCTTTCAATTTTGACAAGAGGGTGTCAATTTTAGATATTTCCTTGTTTCTTATGTGGACATTTATTGCTATGTATTTTCCTCTAGACACTGCTTTAAATGTGTCCCAGAGAAAAAATACGGAACGCTTCACGAATTTGTGTGTCATCCTTGTGCAGGGGCCATGCTAATCTTCTCTGTATTGTTCCAATTTTAGTGTATGTGCTGCTGAAGCAAGCACCCAAACTGATTTTGTAGTCAGGAATATAGCAGTCTTACCTTATTTTTCCACTTCTTTTCCTTATTAAAAAATATAATTGATGGGAAAGGGGGGCTCTTTTTTTGTTTGTTTGTTTCCAGAAAAACTGCCCACCTAGCAGTTCTGTTTTTTTTTATGGAAAAAAAAAGGTAAGTAGAAAATTTTGTTCATGCCTTTGATTATAGAATCAGTTTACAAAATGTAGAAGAAACCACAGCATTAGGGAATTACAGTTTTACAAATACCATTGTTGTAACAGATTCAGGCAAACAACGGTGGATGCCGAGAGCATTGACTGAAAAGTTATTGGGGAACTGGCTAGTTACACAATCTGGAAGTATCAACCCACAGATTGCTTATTAATCAAAAAGGAAAACAGTTATTTACAGTGGGGAAATCTGGCAGATACCAAAATAACCAAGTCATAAAATTTGCCACCAACAATGAAGGTAAAACCTGGCATGCACTTCCTGATGCGATGAGCTGAGCAGGGATACAGCATCATCCTGTGGCCTTCTTACCAGAAATATTTAATTTGCAGATCTAGTCATTAGGACACAATCAAATCCAGATTGAAGGGCATTGTCAGAACATCTGGATTGGACTCTTTAAAAAGGTCAGTGTTGTGAACGATGGACCAGAAGTGACTGAGGAACTATCCTGGATCAAAAGACACTAATGAGACGTGACAGCTAAGCATGATGCCAACAGCCCCTATTGAATCCGGGATACAAAACTAAACAAGTTAAACAACTATTGAAGTAATCGCCACAGATACCTGAAAATGGACCATGTATTAAAGAACATAGGGTTAAATTTCTTGAGTAAAGTAAATGAATTGTGGCCATGTACCTAGCCTTGTTCTTAAGAGATACTGTGGAAGTATTTGAGGATAAAATGTCAATGTGTTTGCAGTTTACTGTTAATTGGTTCAGCAAAAATAAATACATATAGAAAGGACAAAATGTTGACAAATCTAAATAAAAAGCCTACGAGTGTTCTCGCAGTATTAGAACTGCTCTGTGGGTCTGAAAATTCTCTAGATGAAAGTGGAAAGAATAGAATTGTTTATTAAAGTAGCCAGACTCAAGCAGTGAAAACAGAAGTTCTTATTAAGAATAACAACAGAGGAAGTTTCTCAAGAAAATAGTTGGAAGCAGGATCACAGATGGGCTTTTGCTGAATTGCCATATCTGACAGTTAGTACTGGCTGCCAGACATGTGGAAGTGCGCAGGACTGAGGCCACATTAATGACTTAGTAGCAGTGTTCTCACAGGGCTTGGGACATGGGAGTGATGGGGCATGTCCTGTATGTGCTTTGATATTTACACCGTTGCAGTCTAATTATTCTTAACTATTATCAGTCACTGCCTGCTCTGACCCGGCCTTTAGTCTGAAGCCTACATTTCCTTTGGCGTGTGTATCCCTCCTAAAGCTGGGCCAGAGCTCCTCAGATCTTTAAAAGTCAAATGTCTGAGGCAGCTTTAGGTCAGGGGTTGGAGTATGCGTAGAGGGCCCTTTCTCCTAGGAGGGCCCTCCTCTATAACTTTAACTAGATTCTGTAAGAGATTTAAGACCGAAAATGGCTGAGACTCCAGTCCTTTGTGAGTGTTGGTGCTGGGCCGTCGTCTGCTGTCCCCCTGCGTGACTGGCAGGGTCGGGCTCCTCTGCCTCTCACCTGTCTGTGCTGGCTCACTGCTGTGAGTGGCTTCTCTCCCTAGTCTGAAAGGTTCCCCTTTGCTCCTGAGGGCACGTGGATTTTTGCATCATCAAGAGCAGGTAATTTTCCACTCTCTTTAAAAGGTGAAAGGAGCCTGATCATAGTATGTGCTCAATAAATATTGTTGAATGAATGGTTGAAATAATTACACACTTCTTTTCCCAGACAGCTTTCCTGTTGAAATTAGTTGGTGTTCTTATTTACTATTCTTTGAAAAGAATTACATGGATTGGCTCCCTTGGCTACCTGTGCAGCTTTTCCTACTGTTTTTCCAGCTTGAGTCTTCAAGAGCCAACTGATTTCTAAAACCGTTTGTACCTGGTGTGATTATAAAGCAATGAGACTGATTGTCATATGTCGTTTGTGGGATCCGTCTCAGTTACTTTATAGCCATACCTGGTATCTTACACCACAGATCATGGCCTGTTGAACAGCATTTTAAAAGAGAATTTTCAATGGAAATTTAAAGTGGTTTAGCATTATTTTATGATTGTCTCTAACTTACTGATCAGAACTCTTAGTCAGAAAGGTAACTAGATGTTAACTTTATTGCTTGCTTTAATTTTATAGGTTCTTTTTTGTTTGTGGATTTTTAATCAGCATTCTGATAAACTGCTATTCTAATAAAGTGGCTGTAACAATTTTGAGTAAGGTAGTAAAAAGGTATGTGTTCCATTGGGTTACATTTTCCATAAAACTCCTTTTACTGTTGTATTTCTCTTCTTTTTTTTGAGGGTCTCGCTCTGTCACCCAGACTGGCGTGCAGTGGCGTGATCTCAGCTCATTGCAGCCTTGACTTCCTGGACTCCAGTGATCCTCCCACCTCAGCCTCCTGAGTAGCTGTGACCACAGACACGTGCCACCATGCCTGGCTAATTTTCCTGTTTTTGTTAGAGATGGGGTTTCATCATGTTGCTTAGGCTGGTCTTGGACTCCTGAGCTCAAGCAGTCCACCTGCCTCCCAAAGTGCTGGGATTATAGGCATGAGCCATGCGCTGGGCCCTGCAGAGTTTCTTTTCAGTTGTATGTAGTCTTTTGTGACTGCATGTAACACAAAGATGGTTCTTTTAGCTAAATATGATAAAGTGAAGCATGTGAAACCAAATATTTCAATGTATTACTCATTGAAGAAGTATTGAAAAGGACAAGTTTTAGAGACTTTTGCTTGTTTGTTTTGTTGGTTTACATTTATATGTATAAACCTTATTCAAATTCAAATAAGTGGTTATAATTTTGTTTCCTGAAATAAAATGTTTATTATCCTTCTAATGATCCCTAGTCTTTCTTAAGGGCTCTCTGGAGAAGGCAAATGTAGAAGTTATATGTTGCTACCAGCAGCTTCAGCTTATGGAAGAACAGTCGCTCATAGATTGATAGAAGCTTCTCTGTTTCCTTAAAAGACAGTGGGAAGTTATTTCCTTTGTGGAGGAGGGAAGGGATAGCAGTCCCTACTGTCCGTTGGAAGGGATATTCAATTCTTTTGTGGTTAATGCTTCTGGAAATTATGTAGGGGAAAGATCTAGGTAACTAGAAAGCAACTTAAGACCATCCTCGTAAGTTAACTCACATAGCCTGTGGCTGTGGGCAGACCTCTGGACAACTGTTAGAGGCTGGAGGTATTTTGATGCCAAACCAGTCCAAAATGTTAAAGTCTGGACCTCTTTCAGGAATGCTTGATTTCCAGAAGAATTCTTGGGTAAACTAGCAAGGAGCCTCACTTCACTCAATTCTGGACATACGACCCAAGTTAGTTTCAGATGTCACTAATAAAAGGTGCCACCATTTGACACTTTGTAGCTCTGTTACCAGCTGTATGTCCTTGTCTCGGTGAGATTAGAAAGCTCGGCATCCTGTACTTGTTTTTGCAGTAGTTCTACACGTAGTGGGTGCTCCATGAATGTTCCTAGACTGATTCGTGCAAGAAGTACCATTTTATGCTAAAAAAAAAAAACAAACAAAAAACAGCACTTTTCTCCATTTCTTAAGGAATTAAGACTTTCTGAAGATCATTTTAAAATAGAAAAGGTTTTACAGTGTAAATCTACCATGATGTTGACACATTTCTGTTGGTGTATAATGTTATGCTGTCTGTTGTCACATTTGGCTGGTTTAATAATCTTTTTTTTTTAATGTAGTTGTCAGACAAGTTAATATGGTTCTTAACACTGCAATCGTTTTATGCCTTATGTCTGTTTAAGTCTTAAGTACCGCACAACAAATTACATGTTCCCACTTGGTGCCAGCATACCCAGCTGCAGCTTCATTTCAGCTGAGAAGTGGAGTTTGCATACCCTTTCCATTAGCAAACATTACAGTAGTTAACCTAAGTGGCATGTTTATATATTTGCTGTTTCTATAAATTGTAAATGTCACTTGAGTATATATATTTATTTTATATTACAGGCACTGGAGATATTATTGCTGTCATGATAACAGAATTGAGGGGTAAGGATATTTTGAGTTATCTGGAGAAAAACATCTCTGTACAAATGACAATAGCTGTTGGAACTCGAATGCCACCGAAGAACTTCAGCCGTGGCTCTCTAGTCTTCGTGTCAATATCCTTTATTGTTTTGATGATTATTTCTTCGGCATGGCTCATATTCTACTTCATTCAGAAGATCAGGTACACAAATGCACGCGACAGGAACCAGGTGAGCTGCCAGTACTCAACAGTGATTGGTTCTTACCAGCCAGAGTTCACAGACATTTGTCGTCATCATGCATCTTACTAACATGTTTTTTGTTTTAAAAAATATTGTTACCCTCACAGTCATTTTAAGATGTTAAAAATGTCTACACAAGAATTTAAGGGATATTTAAAATAACCTGAAGGGTACTAAATTTATTGTGATCACCTAGAATATTCTAGTTAGGTAGATAGCTGATATCATAGTATTATCTAGATAATTCTATTAATTTGGAGAAATACCAGAAAGTTGCATTTTTAAACTAGTGACGGTGGATGTTTCTGGAAATGGGAACGGGGAGGGGGGTTAGGGAGACCTCACTCTACGCCTTCCTATATGAAATTCTTTCCCATGTGAATTTTGAACTGGGAAAGTATGATCTATTCAGAAAACAACATCAGTGAAAAACCTTTGTCATCTAAGTTCAGACATGGGGTGAGGGTGAGGTGGGGAGGAGCAGTAGAAGGGGTCCTCTAGATAGTCATCCTAGAAGTTCCATTGACAGCATGTCCGAGGTGCTCTGGGAATTTGGGTTGAGTGAATAAACCAAGAAAGGCAGTGTGCTTCCCTGGTGTGAGGGCCTGGAGATGGTGGCTCTCAGTTGGTAACTTGAGTTTGTTTGATGTGCTGTGGACGGAGTACCCACCCTAGGAGCCAGATTCGAGGTGTTTAGTCCCTATCCTAGACTTTTCATATAGAAAACTAAGAAGTGACTTGCTTGGAGAGTGATTTGAGGCCAGTTTTTATATAAGGCTACCTTCTCCTAACACAGTACATCCATGTCTCTGTGGGAAGTGGGCATTGGGATTTTTATCCTTCCTCATTCTACTGAACGAAGCACAGACTTTGGCATGGAACAGGTCTCAGCTCAGATCCCTCCTGTACCACCAGTTTACCATGATCCCTCATCCCTGTTGGACAGTTTAGTTAGCATCTCAACTTATTTCTTTATTTGAAAGTAGATATACCTGAACACTAGTTTATTGAAGCTTTTTGTGCCTGGCTCTCCCTATGCACTTTTAAATTTTTTTATTTTGATAACGTTTATATTTGTAATTTTGGACTTAACAAAAAAAAATTTGCAAGATTAGTGTCAAGTATTCCCTTCACTCAGATTCTACAGCTATTGATATTTTACTGTATTTCTTTTTCTATATAGTTATACTTTTTTTAATTAAAAAAAAATTTTTTTTAAGAGACAGGGTCTTGCTCTGTTGCCCAGGCTAGAATGTGGTGTCAGCCATGGCTCACTGCGGCCTCCAACTCCTGGGCTCAAGCGATCCTCCTGCCTCAACCTTCTGAGTAGCTAGGACTATAAAGGTATGCACCACCATCCTCAGCTAATTTTTAAATTTTTTGCACAGACCAGGTCTTGCAGTGTTGCCCAGGCTGGTCTCAAATTCTTGGGCTCAAGCAGTCTTCCCACCTTGGCCTCCCAAAGTGCTGGGGTTATGGGTATGAACCACCACCCTCAGACTTTGTATTTGAGAGTAAGTTTGAGATATGATGCCACGTTACCCTTAAATACTTTGTTACATATTTTCAAAAAATAAAAACATTCTCTTACATAACCATGGTGTGATTATCAAAATCAGTAAGTTAACATTGATGTAATACATTATCTGACTTATAGACCTTTTTTGGGTTTTATAAAACTGGCTCAATAATGACCTTTATAGCAGAGAAAATCTTGGATTGATTGAAGCTTATTGGATTTTGCATTCAGTTGTCTCTCTTACTTGGTTTTATGACATTGATGTTTCTGAAGAGTACAGATCAGTTATTTTGTATTTGACTTTATCTGATGTCTTGTGTTCCTTCATGATTAGTTTCAGGTTATGTGCGTTTTGGGAAATTTGTAGATATGCTTGCATTTGTAAGAGATAATACAAATACAAAGAGATCTCTTATCCCCTTCACTAATTTTCTCCCTGTGGTAACAACATCTTGTATAACTGTGGTCAGTATCATAACCTGGAAATTGGTATGGATACATGATCTTTCTGAATTCCCTGCAGTCTTCCCACCTCTCCAGTTTAATTTGTACTTATTTGTTATGTGTGTGTCTGTCTTTAGTCTGTGTAGTTTTATCGCATGTGTAGATTCATATAACCAACATCACAGTCAGGATACAGACCAGTTCCATCAGCAGGGATCCCTTGTGCTACTCTTATAACCACAGCTGCCTCCCTCCCTCCCCCTTCCCTAATCCCTGGGTACCATTAGTCTATTTCTCATCTCTATAGTTTTGTCATTTCAAGAACATTACATAGGTGGAATCATGGGCCAGGTGCCGTGGCTCATGCCTGTAATCCCGACACTTTGGGAAGCCAAGGCAGGGGGATAACTTGAGGTCAGGAATTCAAGACCAGCCTGGCCAACATGGCAAACCCCATCTCTACTAAAAATACAAAAACTTAGCTGGGCAAGGTGGTGTGTGCCCGTAGTCCCATCTACTTGGGAGCCCGAAGCATGAGAATTGCTTGAACACGGAAGGCAGAGGCTGTGGTGAGCTGTGATCATGCCACTGCACTCCAGCCCGGGTGACAGATGAAGACTCTATCTTCAAACAAACAAAAAAAAAATGTTATATAGGTGGAATCATACAGTATGTAACCTCTAGAGCAGGCGTCCCCAAACTATGGGCCGCATGCGGCCCCCTGAGGCCATTTATCCGGCCCCCCTGCTGCACTTCAGGAAGGGGCACCTCTTTCATTGGTGGTCAGTGAGAGGAGCACAGTATGTGGCGGCCCTCCAATGGTCTGAGGGACAGTGAACTGGCCCCCTGTGTAAAAAGTTTGGGGACGCCTGCTCTAGAGTTTGAATTTCTTCACTCAGCATAATTACCTTGAGATACCTCCAAGTTGTTATGTGTCTTAATTGTTTATTCCTTTTTATAGCCGAACAGTATCCCATGGTTTGGGTGTACGACTGTTTGTTTAACTACTCACTTATTGAAGGATATCTGGATTGTTTTCAGGTTTTGGCCATTACAAATAGAGCAGCTGTGAACAATCACATACAGGTTTTGATGTGAACATGAGTTTTCATTTCCCTGGGATAAATGTGTAATTGCTGAGTACAGTATAAATTCCAAGAGTGCAGTTTTGGGGCTATTAGATAAGCATGTATTGAGTTTTGTAGGAAACTGTTACACTCTTTCTTCAAAGTGGCTGTACTGTTTTGCATTCGCACTAGAAATGTGTGACTGAGTTCCTCCACACCCTCGACAGCACTTGGTGTTTTCATCTCTGGTGACTGTTTAGTTGTGTAGTAACATCTCTTGTGGTTTTAGTTTGTATTTCCTCAATGACTGCTAATGCTAGGTATTTTTTATGTGCTTGTTTGCCATCCGTATATCCTCTTCAGTGAAAGGTCCATTCACGTCTCTTGCCCATTTTCTACCTAGATTCTTTTTCACGGTTGAGTTTTGAGATCTCTTTATGTATTCCAGATACAAGTCCTTTGTTGGATACGTGGCTTGTAGAGATTATCTCCCAGTCTGTGTTTTGTTCAACTTCTTAACAAGGTCCTTGAAGAGCAAAAATTTCTAATTTTTATGAAGTTTATGAATTTTTTCTTTGATGAATTGTGCTTTTGGTGTCAACTCTAAAAACTCTTTACTTAGCTAGATATCCCAAAGATTTTCTACTTTTTATATTGTTATGTTTTACGTTTAAGTCTGTGATCGGTTTATTTGAAGCTTTCCTGTTTTCTAGTGTAGAAATTAAGTGCTATAAATTTCTCTCAGCATTTCTTTAGCTGTGCCTCACATATTTTGATATGCTATATTTTCATTTTCATTCAGTCCTATGTATTTTTTCTTTTGAGACTTCTTATTTTACCATACATTATTGAGAAGTATATTATTTAAATTCCAATAGTTTAGAGGTTTTACTTTATTTTTTTCTGTTTTGAGGGAGGGTCTTACTCTGTCACCCAGGCTGGAGTCCAGTGGTGCGATCTTAGCTTACTATAACCTCCACCTCCTGGGTTCAAGTTATTCTCTTACCTCTGCCTCCTGAGTAGCTTGGATTATAGGCACACACCACCATGCCAAGCTAACTTTTGTATTTTTTGGTAGAGATGAGGTTTCACTGTGTTGCCCAGGCTGGTCTCGAACTCCTGACCTCAAGTGATCTGCCTGCCTCAGCCTCCCAGAGTGCTGGGATTACAGGCATGAGCCACCATACCCTACCAAGATTTTACTCTTATCTTAGTGTTACTGATTCCTAGTTTGATTCCATTATGCTCAGAGAAATACTATTATTTCAGTCCTCTTCTATTTCTTGAGGTTTGTTTTGTAATCTAGGATGTGGTTTGTCTTAGTGTTTCATTGGTGCTTGGGAAAAATACATGGTCTGCTATTGGGTGGTATGTTTTCTGGGTGTTAATTAGACTAGTGTGCACAGCTTTTCTTCCTGAGGAGCCAAGCTGGGAGAGCATATTCACACTGGGCTCTGTGAGACCAGGGTGGGAGGAGGATTGTGATTTTTTCCCTTGGCGCCTGGCTGGAGTAGAATGAGTATTACCGCAAATGTATTCTGATGTTAGGCCATCCTTCTCCTGGTACTTTGGCTAGAGAGTTGGGCTTTTCTTGGCTTTTTCTGGGGCCTGGGGGTGGGGGTGCACTGGTCCTGTTGGCAGTTCTAGATTGGAGGCTTCTGCAGCACATTGTCAGTGATCTATGGGAACAGTAAGGAAGCTCAGAACCCACCATCCATTTCTCATGTATTGAGGGCCCCCGACAGCCCACCTTTTCTCGCTTATGCTGTATACCTTTTAAAAAAAAAAAAAAGGTCTGTTTTTTAAATATGTTGACATAGGAAACACTGAAAGTAAAATGATAAAGATCTGCTCTGAAATGGTGTTCATGACAGGCAAGCCTGTGGTCGTGGATTGTATGTAGCACACCCTGAGGACTTTGGAACAAAGGCTTACAGTTGTCGGAGGAGCCTGCTATT